GGGTTTGAGGCTGCTTAACGTGTAAGGCACCGTTTACCAACGATGGGATATGTATGTATAGACAGGTACTACTGGGGAACAAGGGTGTAAGTATGGGTGGCTTACGATTTGTACGGTTACAACCCTCTGTGACCCTGCCAGAACCCTCCTTACAACCAGCCCTCGACCCCAAAACAAAACCCTAAACTTCATCTAAACTGATGCATGGCTAGAAATCCCTAACCCTAAACCCTAAACCCTAAACCGCAAACCCCAAACCCTAAACCCCAATCCCTAAACCCCAAACCCTAAACCCTAAACCCCAAACCCTAAACCCCAATTCCTAAACCCCAAACCCCAAACCCGAAACCCTAAACCCTAAACCCCAAACCCCTAAACCCTAAACCCTGAGCCCTAAACCCTTGAACACGAGACCGAGAACTCGAAGACCTCAACTTTGATCCCCAAGCCCGATGCCACACACGCCCAGAAGCCCACACAAGTCCTGTGCGCAAGCCTGTTGGCACCTGTAAGAACCCTACACTGGCCCAAGAAAATAGCCATGAAGCATTAAACAAATAACAGAAACAGAAAACAGCACCGCCGAGTAGCTAAGACCATGAAGGTCAGTAGTAGCGTCAAGCCGGCGGCCTCCGCAGCTACTGGCCAATCCTCGTCACTGCTCTACATGTGCCCCAAATTTTAGTGTGTTTTGATAAGGGTTCCTTTCAAGGGTTCCTTTCAAGGAGCTGTAAGGACCCATTGAAAGGTTCCTTTCAGGGTTCTACGAGGGTTCTACCCGGGTCCTAGAAGGGTTACTAAAAGCCTGTTGAATAAACATTCTCTCAATGCTCATCCATAAGGATTCTGTGAGAACGTCTAGAAGGCCTTATATATAGTCTGAAACAGGGTCTACGTCTAGAAGGCCTTATATATAGTCTGAAACAGGGTCTAAGTGTGGATCTGGGCTTGGTATGGGGCTGTTGACTTCGCTTTGAGCTTCTGGATGATCCAATTTTGGGCCACTGAGTACGCATGTTGGTCCTTCATGCACGGCTTTTGCACCTGAATGTCTGCAATATACCCTAGCCCCAGACCCCAATCCCTGAACCCAGAACCCACTACATCCCGGAGTGTATTAGCAAGAACGTCAACAGCATCTCTGCACTCTTGTGCCCTACTCCGAGAGTCCCAGACCAACTGTTGCAAGAAAACTCTTCAGCCATACGCAGCTTTGACCCTAAAAACTAAACCCTGAAGCCCTAAACGGGTGTAAGGGCCAAAAGTGTTGCGTCAACCTGCGAAACCCTTGAAAACACCCTTCCGTCCCTTGTAAAAACCCTTCGCTCCCGCTGGAGAACACTACATAAATTTGAAAATGGCCTTTGGACCATACTGCAAAGCCCTGCAAAACCTCGTAAAAACGCTTGCACAGCCTCAACAGAAAGATCAAGCCCCTCCGAAACACTTTCTAAGCTCGTCCTGAACCAACTCATATCAAGCTGGGCCCTGATCCTTAGAACCCTAAACCCTACACCCTCAAACCCCAAAACCCTAAACCCTCGACCCCCAAACCCCCTAAATCCTTAAAATTCTGAAACCCTAAACCTAACTTATATCAAGCTCAATACAGCGAACCCTCCTCTTCTAGGTTCGTGTTGGGAATCTAAATTAAGCTACAATAAGGGATCTATAGAATATTAAAATTCCTTAACAAGAACCCCTAAACCCCTAAACCGTAAACCCCTAAAGCCCTCAAACCCTAAACCCCTGAAACCTCTAAACCTCTGAACCTTAGACCCTCAAACCCTAAGCCCCTAAAACCTCTAAATCTGAAACCCTCAAACCCTACACCTAACTTATGAAGCTGAACACAACCCTTTATTACGATAACTTAAACTCATGCAGGGGCCCTAACTATAAGTTAATATAATATCCCAATTCATTAACAAGAACCCCTAAACCCCGAAACCCCTAAAGCCCTAAACCCCTAAAACCTCTAAATATGAGTGAGACTCCTTAACAAGAAGCCTAATTATGGCAACTTAAACTCATGAAGGGGGCCTAATCAGAAATACAATAGCAATATAATATCCCAATTCCTTAACAAGAACCCCCACTCCTGCGGCCCGAGAGGCTACACTGCCACCTTCGCCTTCAGAGGCAAGGAGGCCGATCCCCACCAACGAGAACCTCGAGTGCTCGAGGTTTTAGGGTATAGGGATGATATTGCATGATATGATAGCATGGTGTAGCATGGTATGGAATAATCGACGATATTAAAGTAAAGTATAGTATAGTATAGTGTAGTTAGTATAGTCTAGTATAGTAGCTTGGGGTTTAGAGTCTCAGGGTTTAGGGGGTCTTAAGGTCCTTGGGCCGTTCTGAGGGCACTTAACGGGTTCTTATGAGTGCTGTGAACATTAACTAGGTTCTTATGGCATTATCGGTCATTGACCACGTGACTGACATGAATATCCGAGTTGGGCTTGCCGAACAACTTCTCGTCCAGATCAACGACGGTTGCTTTGAGAATCTCTGGATTCGCGCTCCACCCCAAGTCGCATTCTTGACTCAAGGCTTGACCAAGTGGAATGACTGCGTTGTCAGACGGCATTGTCTATGTACAGTGCCGGTGGCTCCACCTGCCCGCAGACTAGAGCCGTGCCTGCGAATTGATGCCGGCTCGTGAGGGTCTGTGCCAATTTCATTCCCCCATTTGAGTCTTACCCGCCTTCAACGGTCATGCGTGGATGAAATTGACCGACTTCTGGGACACATGCGAGCGCTGCTCCCAGGCGGTGACGCACGAGTCCCCAACTCCCTACTCGGGGTGGCAAAACACCAAAAGGGTCTGTCTGGCACTGCAACGTCTATGTGCACCAGAGCCAACAGTTTCACGGGTTTGGTGCTTGGGGTTCATCTGTGAGTCCTAAAATCCACTGTATTCGAAGCTGATTATATACTGCAACAATCAAGCAGTTATAGCCTACTTTGTTGCAGGATTTGGAGCTACAAACAAGGCCTCGAGATCCTTGCTGTCAGGGTTCAGGGTGTTAGGGATTTAATAAAGGCGTTGCTTGCTTTATTCAGGGTCTGGTCCTGGATTTTGGCGACTTTGCTTGTGTTCATGAGTTCAGGGTCTTCAACAGTTGTATCCACAAGGGCTCTACTTGTAGAATTCTGCAATCCCTGCACCACCAGAGTTTTGGAGGCTCTCGTCCGGTTTCGCTAGGGTTCAGAGGGAGCAGGGTGTCTGTCGGCGCGGTTGCAAGGTCGTCAGTTCTGGCCAACCCCCCGTCAGGAGCGCAGTGTTCATTCTAGATTTCGACCGGCCATAAAGTGTATCCCAAAGCTTACGCCTTACTACGACGTAGGTCAGGAATACCGAAGCTGCACTACATGACCACAAGCCTAAATGAAAAGATAAACATGAGGACCCTGAATTGGACCAAATCCCATGAGAGCTCAGGAAATCCCCTCCACAAATTTCAACTACAATATTCTCGCTGATTGAGACACACTGGTGCCTCGGAGTTCCCTAAATTTTAACTCAAGGGTCTGCATAATCAGTAATGGCGTCCCTTTGAGTTCCGATGTGATCAGCCCGAAGCCCTCTCTGAATCAAGCCCACAACCTAAAGACCAGGGATGCGGCGGCGGCGCGAGCAGCCACAACCTCGTAAGATTTTCGCTTGCTTAAACCTCTAATAAGCTTGACTCTAAGAACTTCAGCGGACTTTCAAAAAACCTTGGAGTTTACAGAAGTTTGAACATTGCCCTAACCCAAAGCCCTAAACCCTAACCCCTACGGTTCTAGTTCTGCTTTCGGTTTTGAATCCTACTATTTTGGGGTTGTAGGCCCAGGCTTTCTTAATCAGGCTCCTTACATTACCCTTAAAAGGGCTCGCATAGTACCCTTAGCTAGTACAGGGGCCTTAATAATTAGAATAGGGTTATGGGACCCATTATACTATAACTCTGAGAAGGAACCCCCAAAACAGTATTGGTAGCTGTTTTGGCCCCTACATTACACCCTTATGGTACCCTGACCAGGCCCCACAAACGGCCTTTTCAAACCCCAAGTCCTTCTTCGGGCCTCTTTCGGTCGTACGGTTGATGATAAGAATCCTGCATTACCCATTAATAAGGAACATACCATAATTCCCATAGTTTAGGGTCCTTAAGGTAATGCAGGATTTATATCATCAACCGTAGTTTCGCCCTTTTAGCGCTCAGGCTCGGGAGGTTAGGGTCGATGACGTACGGGTCAGGGCAGAGTCTTAGGGTACGTATCTGGGTAGTTACGGCCCCTTTTTGGGTACCCCAAGTATTAGGTGCCGTATTATAATAAGGACCCAGAAAGGGCACCATAATCTTGACAACCACCCAGATGTTTCAAGCTTAAGTATTTGGGATCTTAGGCTTAGGTGGGCACTATATTGAAGATTCAGAATACAAGGCAAGGGACTTCACATCCAGATCATTACAGTTCACATACCCAGGCAGAATCCCCCTCCCCAAGACTTGCGCTCGACCCTAAAACCCGAAAACTGACCCAAGCCCTACCAGTAGAACTTGAACCCGTCTAATTTACACCCCAAACCCTCAACCCTCAACCCAAAACACTGTACCCCCAGACCTTCAACCCTACAAGTTGAGACCTAAACCTTATGTAAACCCTAAACACCCAAAAACTAGACCCTAAAAATGGCCCGAACAAGAAACCCCCAAACCCGACCCACGAAGGCGGGACGCCAATTGAAGGGTCGGAAGAGGCCGCGGTGCACAAGCCTCGGCTTTTGCTGCAGATGTCGAATACAAGGGCATCAAACGTTAGTCCTTTAGGGCTCAGTCTGGGTTGAGAGTTTAAGGGTTTAGGGTTTAGGGGTTAGGGTTTAGGGTTTAGGGGTTAGGGATCGGATCGGACTGCGGTCAAGTCTCAGTCGACGTCGGACTGCCCAGAAGGCAGTATTAATTAGAAAGCTGTTGCAGAACATTGAAAAAGAAAGGGCAGCGCAGTCACTCCATACCCGCATGTTGGAGCGTCGCCGCAAAAGTAGCTGAGCGGCCATCCTCGAGTGCAGCCCAAACTGCATCCCGCGTGGCTTCGCTAGCAATCTGCCACTCCGACAGAGATCGTCGGCAGGCAGCTTCAAAATCACTGTCCACATCTTCAAACAATCCAAGCTCCCTAAATCTTACAAGCTGTTCAGCAGAGAGAGTCTCTTCTCCTGAAACGGGAAGCGGACCTGCAGTCCGGACGGCGGGTAGTGCGTGCCGGGGCAGGCTCTCATCAGGCCCGGTAGAGCAGGCAACCGGGGCAGGGGTCGGATGTGCTAAGGAAAGGACATGCCTCCCACAGGAAGGCTTATCGTGGTGCAAGTGGCGTAGCAACCTCGAGTGCTGCCAGAATTGGCGTAAGCAGCAGCTGCAAACACTCCTGGGCGCTGAGGCAGCTAGCACTGTCAGCTTTTTGTGCTTGCTCCACATGTGAGCACGCACCTGGTGCAGCGTGTTAAATCTTTCATCACAATGCTCGCATTGAAAGGGCTGAGCAACACGCACCGCGCCTTCCTGCGCGGTAGGAGCGGCGCCCGCGTTGGCCGTCGCACGCCGTTTGGCGCGTCGCAGCTGGCTTCCAAGCTTGTGTGGCTCACAAACTGCCGCGTCTATGAAAGCCGTGGCCGAAGTATATGGCTGGTACTGCTTCCAATTGCCAGACAACTGATCCAGCCAGAGCACCGCCTCGGTGGCTGCATGGAGCCAGGCGCTCTCGGAAGCATCGGCCTCTTCGAGAAGCGCATCAACAACAGCTGTTTGCTGGAGTGCGCCCAACATACGCAAGTGCTCCAGGATGAGGAGACGCCAGGTATCGAGGGGGCTTGGCCTGGCTACCTCCCGGCAAAGAGCGTGAAGCTCCAGAAAAACAGGGCCGTGCTCAGTGAGGCGAGGGGGTGTGACGCACCGGTACAGAGCCCCAAGACCGGCCTCCCATGCCTGTAGCACCTGAGTGCTGGGAGAACCCCAGATCGCAATGCCATAGCTGGCTCGGCTAAAGGCCAGCGAATCCAAGATCCGCATTCTGCTGTCAAGCCGGACTTCTCGTCTCCGAAGAACTTGTTTGGCGATGGGGGCTGCAGCTCCTTTGGCCATGCCTATTTTGATTCGGAGGTCCTTGAGGGGCCGGCCCTTTGCAGTCAGTACCGTGCCGAGGTGCTTGTACTGAAAGACACAGCGGACATCAATGGGAGGCACCGTGTCGAGGCTGACAGTGCCCTTTCCAGTTCTGAAAAGCCGGTGTCCGACCTTGGTGGCCCCCGCTCCTCCCAAAGAAAGCAGGACCTCAGTCTTTCCGGGCCCATAATTTGGACTCATCGCCCGGCGCAGGCATGCGTGGTGCAGCGCACTGCCAGTTACGGCCACGATCTCCTCGATGCGATCGGCAGGTCCCTGCACCAGGATCGCGAGGTCGTCTGCCCAGGTCGGGACCTGTGCCTTCGGCATGCCGGACGCTTCCAGAGCATCGCCTACCTCCGCGATGAGGCTGGTGACGGCAAGCGCGAACATGGTGTCCGAAATCGCATCGCCTGGCCGAGAGCCAACCTTCGTCACCGTAAGTTCGGGAACCCCATCCATCACAAAGTATGTGTGGCGGAACATCATCGCAAGGGCGTGCTTAAAGTGTGCCGAGGCTGTGGGCAGGAGGCCCCCCGTGCGCACGAAGTCGGCGACTTCGGAGACGTAGTCCGGGCTGACTTTCAGCTTCTGGAGGAGCTGGCACAGGGTGGCGTCTGAGAGGTCCGGCTCATAGACCGCTTCGCGAATCAGCCGATAGTAGGCGGCTGTGAGGTCAAGAAAGATGACAGCGGAGGAGAAACCTCCAGCAGCTGCAGTGCGCCCCTTTGTGAGGAGGAAGTGAGTGAGGGCCACAGGAGAGCTGTTGTTCAGACACCCTTGCTGTAGCGGTTGCCGGCTCTCCTCAATGCTGCTCAGCAGTTCTGGGCGCATAAGCTTATGGTGCATCTTTGCAGAAGGGTCCATCAAGGCGATGCTGCGAAAGCTGGAGGCCTGCACCGCCAAACCAACTTTCTTGAAGAGGGCCGACAACTTAGCACCGCGGTATTGTACCGGCTCCGTGAGCCTGACATGCGACTTGACGAAGACTGGCAGCAGGGCGGCGGCTGCAACAGTAGGACAAGCCTTCCACACACAGACTGGAACCCCCGAGGGTCCCGGTGCCTTCCCGTCTTTGGCCTGGCGAATGCAGGCCTCGACCTCCGACAAACACGGCAAGTCTGCCAAAGTGAAGGCCTCCGGGCATAGGGGCTGCATTGGTAGCTGAGCATATTCGGCTCGCGGAAGAACATATCCAGCCTCCTGCTTTTCGAAATGCCGCCGATGCACAGACTGTTGCTGTTCGTGAGTGGTAGCCGGTTCACCCTGCTCGTCATGCAGTATGGCTAAAGGCCCGAAGCCTTTGATGATGCCTCTCCCTGCTGGGCGGAAAAAGCGGAGCGCTGCAAAGAGAGCCTTGGAGTCTTGCTTGGTGGTAGCCTCTGCATAGACCTGTGCCATACGCTCAATGTAGGCTGCCTTTGAGGCCTTTAGACAAAGGAGCAGGCTGTGGCGTACAGTGCGCCGCTCTGCAATGGCGGTGGCTTTGGAGGCAGCGGCAGCAGCAAAAAGGCAAGCATGGCGCAGCAGCGTGCCTTTGGGGAAGGCTCGGGCCCCAGTAGCGTTGCAAAGCTGCCTGAAGCCTAGCAGTAGCTGTGCCCGTTCCCCCTGCTGCCCGTGTTGGGCTATGCTCCGCTTGAACTCTTTGCGCTTTCGAATCAATGCCCAGGCCTCCTCGGAAACATACGGCCGCGCTGCCTGGACCTGTTTTGGGCCTGAAGTACACTCGCGCCACAGGGCTCGGTCTAGTGCCGCGACATGCGAGTGGATATTGTCAGCCCAGGGATGGCTGCTGAAGGATCGACAAACACTGTCAACGTCGCATTGGGCACTCCTGACATCCTCCACCGTGCGCAGTGGAATGCGTCTGTATTCGAGCGTTGGCTCGCCAGCAGGTAGGCCGGCCATGCAAACAGCGACAGTAGAGGGGAAGTGGTCATCAGGGCCGCCGTCGTCAAAGTCATGCATGACACGGCTGGACTGGACATTGGGAAGAAGCGCAAGGGGGAGGAGAACGTAGTCAATACGGTGCTTGCCCCCAGTGGGCGAAAGCCACGTGTATGCCGCCTCATCCTCAGGTGCCAAAATCCCATGAGCCCCTGCAAAGGTAGCGGGCGCGCAAAAGTCATGGTGGTCGCACAGATGACGGAGCAGCTCCCCATTGGGCGTCTCGTCGTCGGGTGCGTGCTGCCCGATGCCTTCACTGCAATACTGTCCGACCTTGGCATTGGCGTCCAGGCCTGTGAGGATGGGTATCTGCTTCTTGCAATGTGCGGCTATACAGGATTGTAGTCGCCGCCACCAGGCCTGCGCCTCCGCCGCGGTGGCTCCTGAGTGTGGGGCGTGCGCCGAGAGGAGGTAGCAGTCAAGGCGCGGCGCATTTAGCCTGGCCAACAGGATGCGGGGCTCTGCAAGGAGAACCTTGACGTGGCGCTTGTCAACATCTCCAAGCGGCGAGGATCTGGCGACCCATATGGCACATCCTAAGTTGCCCTTCAAGGCTGGGCTTCGGATGTCTCAAAGTAATCTTTGGCCGAGCATTGCCCGTTGGGCTGCCTGGTCTCCTGAAAGAAGATCACATGCTGCTGGCGGCTCGCAAACTGTTCGCGCAGTATTTCCTTCTTGCCCTTCATGGACTGCACATTGTAAGTGCACAGGTTAAGGGCTGCGCCAGTGCGCTTGCGCTTGTGTTCGGCAGGTGCAGCCTGGGGCAGGCAGCTCTCGGGAACCGGGTCCGCAGCCTCGTAGGTCCCACTGGCAAGCTGGCTGAGAGTCGGCAGAGAGGCAGCTGGGTGGAGCAAATGCCAGAGCCACCCTAACGCATGGTGGCGGAGGAAACTGGCAAGCTTCTGTGGCATCGCCGGTGTACTGCCATGGCAGGCTATTTTAGCGAGCCGATCTGTCAGCTCGTTTGGGGCCCAGCCTGCGTGTCCTGGCACCCATTGAGCAGTGGGCGGGCGCGGCCTTCGTTCAAGTGCCTGCCACAAGTGCCTGCACTTTTCTAGCAACTGGGCTGTAGCCCCAGCTTGGCGACAGCCGGCCTGACCAGTGGCGATGTGAAGCACTGTTTGGCAATCGGTCCAGACACTGAGGGCAGGGGTTAGGGTTTAGGGTTTAGGGGTTAGTGCCCTAAGGGCTTCAGAGTTTAGGGAACAGAGGTCTAGCAGTGGCAGCATTGCTCATTACTCAAACGTTGTGCATTCAAACTTTCAGTTTTTCAGGGGCTGGAGTTTAGTGCTTCAGGGATTTTGGGGCCGTTTAGGGGTTTAGGGCTTAGCAGGTGTTGGGAGTTTGATTTCAGGTCTGGTGAGTCCTTAGCCAGACCCGAGAACCCAATGCCTTTTGGGGGCCCTTTGGGTCAAGGCTTCGAGTTTTTCTAGACGGGGCAAACCAATATAGTGGCCACTATAATTAGAAAGCCAGACTTGTGGTATACCGCATTACTCAAATCTGAAACCCTGCGACGCTAGCCTAATATCCCAAACCCTAAACCCGACTTCGCCAACACCCTAGTAACCTAGTAGGTTTCAAATGGCCTGAAATACGTTAAGACCCCAAACCATGGAGCTGTGGTGGGCACTGACTACGAACAACATAGAACTTTACTTCTCCTTCTCCAACTCTGGGAGAACTGGTTAAGCCCTCACCACGTCCCACAAATCGGAACCTACAAGATTTTACTAAAGAAACCCTGAAGAACAGCTTGATTAATCCTCTGCAGCAGCCCCAGCCGCAAAAATGCCCAGAAGCCCTACGGGTGATGATATAAATCCTGCACTACCCTGAGGACCCTAAACTACAGGAATTATGGTCTAATCCTCATTATGGGTAATGCAGAATTGATATCATGAACCCGATTATCTTCTTTTCGCTTCGATATAGTTTGGACTCCTCAGACTGGACCACTGCTTTCACAAACTATCCGGGCTGGAGGCTCAAAAGGCTGTACGTGTGTATGTATATACAACATAATAGAACATACTATAATATAATATGAGATACCAACCGTATAATATAATTATAGTAGAATAGATATATATATATATAAGGATTCTAAACACGGTCCAGAAAGGCTTGGGGCACGCAGCCTTACCTGTACGCCAAGAAAGGGGTGGCCCTGAACATGTATGAGCAGCTTGGCATTCCCAGCTTCTTTATGACACTCTCCTGCCACGCGCGGCAACCTGCCATGCTCCTCGCGGCTATCTCCGGGCGGCTGCTGCGGCTGCATCCCGAACGGCCGCAAGGAGAGTTGGAGCACCACGCTGCCGAGATCCTGCACCTCTACCAGAACGACAAGAACTTCAAGTGGGATGGGCTCTCGCCCAACCAGCTGTGCAACCAGCAGCCGGCGGTGGTAGCCCAACAGTTCATGCACCAGCTGTCCCAGCTGATGTGGTGGCTGCAGTCCGGCACACATGCACGAAAGTTCCATTTAGACGAAGACGGTGACCCGCAAGATGAGGTCAAGGAGAGCGACGGCGAGGACGCGGAAGACGATGCCCAGGCCCCGGCCCCGGACTCCGCAGGCCTGCACCACCGCATGCACAAGCAAAGGCCGCCTTCTAAAGTTTTGGATTACATCATTCGCATAGAATGGCAAAAGAGGGGCTACCCCCACGCTCACATATTGCTGTGGATCGAAGAGTGGGCGAAAGCCAAGAAGCAGTCAGATGAGCCGGCGCCCGACAACGGCGAGGCCACGGTCCCAGACTGGTCGGACGAGGAAGCCATGGAGAGTTTCATTCCCAAGTCTGCGGAAGATCTCAGCGACAAGCACATCACCACCAAGTCTCCGAACTCGTGGCGCCAATCCCAGCGTGTAGCAGCCCGAGAGAGAGGTGAACGCAAAGCTCGCCGCAGAAGTGGTGCACAACCACACGCCATATTGCGGCATGTACACACAAGGCAGTTGTCGATCTGGGTTTCCACACGACCCGGAGCCGCGGACCCGACGACGAACGTCTCAGGAGCAGTACGCCAAAAGCCGCTGGAAAAGCAGCCTTGCCGTGAGAAGAGTCAAGGGGGACAGCATGATGGGCCAGTACAACATACGAATACTGAGGAGGTGGAGGGCAAGCATGGACTTGCAGGTCATTTTCGAACTCACAAGCGCCAGCCGCTACATATTGGGCTACACTTTCAAATCGGAGGAGGATCGCGACGCGCAGCGTCGCATGGAGAACATCCTGGCCGACCTGACGTCCAGCACTGCGGGCGAGGGCCTGGACAATCAGAAGGTCTACAAAGCAGCGCACGCAGCGTTGCAAGGCAAGACCACTTCCACCTTCGAGGCATGCCACCTGCTACTGGGTTACCCGATCATCGAGTTCTCCAGAGACAACGTTTGGGTGCAAGTAGGACCTCCGGACACCTGGACCGTGTGGGTGCCAAAGCACGAGGAAAAGGTGGCCTTGAAGCAGCCTGACCATTACCACAGCAAGAAGGCACCGAAGCGGGGACCTGCCTGCCGCTCATCACTGGTACCGTGAAATGCAGACGAGATTCGGCGACCAAGAAACAGCCTTGCCGGTGGAAGGTGGCGAACCGATTTCCTGTCGGTTCATGGACGTCACCTTCCTGGACTTTTGTGCGGCTTTCAGGTACATAGGCGTCCAAGAGCCACAACCTCGCAAGAAGCCTGCGATCGTTGGCTACCAGAACTTCAACCCGGGCGAGGAGTCGGAAGCCTTCTACTACTCCAAGTTGCTGCTGCATCTAGTCTGGAAGGAGCCAGGCGATTGGCTGGTGGAGCAAGACGCAGGAAGCCACGCTGCAGCATTCCATCGCGTCGCCCGAGACGTGAACGGCCACCCGGATTTCCTTCGGTCCAAATGCTTCCCTCAGCTGGACGGGACAGTGAACGCCGTGACTTGGAATTCACCCTACTGTTATAGGCACTTTGGGTTCAAGGCCCGAAACATCCTAGACCCCCAAGTACTAGAGCCAAGAGTATCTAGGAATAAAAAGGGTGCCCTTTTTGGTTTAAAGGTGGCTCAGGAGCGAACCTGAACCCTAACAAAGGGAATAACGGCCTATTCTAGGTCCTAGAATACCATTTGGGGCTCAGCTGAGGGGTCTACAGTCTACAGCTCAAGGTCACAGAGTCAAGCATTTAAGGTGCAGGGCTTGAAGGATTGCTGCTTCCGGTCTGCGGTCGAGGAGGGTACATACAAGATTAGAACTACTAAAACCGCTATAATATAGGGGCAGTAATAATTAGAACAGGGTCTTGGTGCCGGCTGTAATTATATGGATCCATGGGGTATAGTCTCATGATGCAAGTACAGTCTACTAATTATGACAAGAGCCGCAAGGAACAGTATTCATGATTATTTAGGCTTCTACGGTATATGAGGTTCTAGACGGCGCTTAGGATGTAAGGCCCTTAACTGAAACAGCACACAAGGCTCTTGCTTAGCTTCCCGGGGTGCAGCGTGTAGGGTAGCTGTGTCATTAAACCCAAAGCCCTGTCGTTCACAAGCCCCAGAACCCAATGTCTCCCCTACTCCCACAGTGCTGACTCTAAGCCCTACACCTAAACCACAAAGTCCTAACCCCGAACCCTAAACCCCAAGGTTCTGAATCCTAATAAAGGCCTGACCCTGAGCCCTAAAGCCCACTGCCCTACCCCTAAAATACCGGGGACTGATGGCTTGGCGCTTTCGCAGCATGCAAGGAGTAGTGCGACCTAAATAGGTTGAAGGATAATATAGGGGCCTTAATAATAAGGCTTCGCACGCTCCCTTCTGTTTTGTCTGCGAGGGTGCAGAGTCTTGTACCAAAGAAAAGAACTAGAGGCACAGCTTTCGAAAGTTGGCTTCGGCTGTTTTTACAAATCTACCTTACAAGTCTTCAGCCAGAAGCTTTTGCGACCCAACCTGCAGCTTACAATTCAGGACGACATACTGCAGGCACAGGCATCTCGGATACCTTTACAAGTCTAGTGGGTCGCGAAGCTGCGCACTGGAAAGAAAGAGAGAAGGCTCCACTAATACTGCATACAAGTAAAGCTCGGCTAATGTCTTTGTGAACCCAGTTGTTTAGCAGAGCTCCCTCTCATCCGAAAAAAGGCAGGCAAAGAGAAGCGGTGCGTCGTCGCGAACCGACAGAACCTGGGCGGGAGGGTGGGAGCCTAAAAGTTGCGGCTACGCAAAACAAGTTCGCGCTACGCCTTAAACTACCAAGGTTACGTCAAAGGCTTCGCACGCTCCCTTCTGTTTTGTCTGCGAGGGTGCAGAGTCTTGTACCAAAGAAAAGAACTAGAGGCACAGCTTTCGAAAGTTGGCTTCGGCTGTTTTTACAAATCTACCTTACAAGTCTTCAGCCAGAAGCTTTTGCGACCCAACCTGCAGCTTACAATTCAGGACGACATACTGCAGGCACAGGCATCTCGGATACCTTTACAAGTCTAGTGGGTCGCGAAGCTGCGCACTGGAAAGAAAGAGAGAAGGCTCCACTAATACTGCATACAAGTAAAGCTCGGCTAATGTCTTTGTGAACCCAGTTGTTTAGCAGAGCTCCCTCTCATCCAGCTCCCCCCTGCATTGCAAAGCGATCAAGCCGCAACGTGCGCCGGAAGAAAGAAAGCGGGGCTTTCAGAGGAGGACGTGAAATATCAAAAGTGATTTCAGCGAGGCGAGCTACACCGTCGTTGATGTAGACACGGGCGGTTCTGTCAGAGCCCCACCGGCCTAACTGGCGCACCGAATCGAAAGACGGGTGCTTTTGGAAGTACATGGTTGCACCTCCTCGTCTGAGGCTGTAAGGGCGAAAACCCCAGCCAGAGAGGTTCAGTGTGGTGAGAACCTGATCGAACTGCTGACGAAAGAGATAAGAAGAGAAAGGTACGAGAAAA